ACACACACACACACACACACACACACACGCAGTCCCTGGCACCGGCGTCTGGGAGTCCCCACGGAAAACCAACACGGCGGTGCGCTTGGCCATATAAAGTTGCAGCCTGGAACTGGTGATCTGTTTCCTGCCCTAGCTCCAGCATCTTCCAGACTCGACCGCCAACATGACCGCCACCACCGTCCCCGTCATCGCCAACGTGGCGCAGCAGATCGAGATCGACGTCGACACGCTCGATGTGGCGCTCACGCAGCAGCTCAAGTCGCTCGGCGTGCAGCCTCACGACATGACCTCGAACCAGTTCATCGTCGCCGATGCACTCGCGCTCGAGCCCAACCAGCTCATCCTCGAACAGGTCATCCGCGAGAGCCCAGACGCCGACTGGCTCACCATCCTCGACCGCGTCGTAAGTCAACTTGGGTAAGAGGGTCAAAGCAGAGCAGATGGCTGACCTGATTCTCGTCGTCTGTGCATGTTTAGAGTGTCCGCCTTTGCTCGCTCAACCTGCCCAACATTGCCGGACGTGCGTTGCTGCAGGCGTCGCCCGCCAACGCGTACAACGCCGAGGGCATTGTCAACCATGCGCTCGCCTACTGCCGCGAGTTCGAGGCGGTGGGTATCTCCAAGGACCGATTCTGCATCAAGATCCTCACCACCGGCCCCGGTATGCTTGCCGCCCAGATCCTCGAGAAGCAGCACGGCATCAGCACGCTCGGCACGGGTCTCTTCTCGGTTCCGCAGGCGCTCGCCGCGGCTCAGGCTGGATGCCTCTACATCTCGCCGTACTTTAACGAGATCCTCGCGCACTTTACACCGGTGCCCGAGCGTCTGGTGTACGAGGTGCCGGAGAAGCAGCACCCCATGTCGGCGCGTATGGCGCACATCTACCAGGCGTACCGCGAGCTGGTGCTTGCCGGCAAGTGCGCGCAGCCACCGGTGATCAAGTCGGCGAGCTTCATCGCGATGAACGAGGTGCTGGCCATGCCCGCGCTCGGCTCGCAGCAGGCCACCATCCTGGCGCCGACGCTCGTCGAAATGTGCTCGCTCCAGACCGCTGCTGCGCCTGCTGGGGCGTACAAGCCCAGCAAGACCTACTCGCTCGAGCTGCCTGCCACTACGCTGCCCCTGCTCAAGCTCGACCCGCTGCGCGAGGATGGCAAGGCCCAGACATTCGACCTCGCCGTCGACTACCTCGCCAACAACGCTGCTGAGCTCGAGAGCGCGATTCAGCAGGATCCCGAGACGGCAAGGAGGATCAAGGACGCCGTCGAGGTCTTCCAGAAGGCCGAGCTCCAGGCGCGCGCGCTCATCGAGACCGCCATGGCCAAGGTCAAGGCTTCCGCTTGAGTCGTCACTTCACTGCTATGGTCAATAGAACGGATTGCAAGGAGCTTAGTCTAGTGCGAGATGGAGGCGTTCTTGTTGTAGATGTCGTTGTACGTGCCGAGGGCGGTGCGCTCGAGGGTGCTGGCGTCTTTGCCGGTGAATCGGAGCGGATCGAGTTCTTTCGCCAACCACTGGTCCTCTTGCTTCAGCTGCCCGGTGAGGATATCAGCTACGAGCTGAGCCGATGCA